CGCAAATCATGCATTTTTTTAGATTAATAAAACGGCAAATTAACATTTCATTTACAGTATTGTTTTTAGATCTACACCATAAAGAGCAATTTAGATACCTCAATAAAAAAATTCTCTATTCAAAATTCACTTTCATAACCTGTGATTAGTATGGGGTTTGGGTGATGTATACACATTTGAGTTGTTTGAGGAAACCAATATAGCGAGCTACAAACCTTTAAATTTTGATATAAACATTGAAAATTGTACAATAAATATATTTAGACGTCTGACAAATATTGACTGTATAAAACATAACCCCACAGAACTAATTCAAATAAATCCGGCTCGAAAAGGAGCAAATGATTAGTATGGGGCTTATTAGAGTGATGTGTATACATTTGAGTTATGACTCGAAGGACCAGGCGTTATGGCCGGCCGTAGCTAGTGAGAATTGAAATGGTAAAGCGTTTTACTTGAAAGGTACTTAATGTTATTTTTGAGATCTAAATTAGTCACACACTATTTGATTGGTGAAACCATCGATGTATAATGAAACTAACCATTGTAGAGGTCCCTTCAGCGGAGAGTGAGCCAAGTCCGTTGTGAGCGGCACGGAAGCGCCGCGGGGTAGAGTTGCAATAGTTTATGTGTAATTGTTGGGTCATTTGGGCTATCTGAGGTATCGTAAGCAGTTTGTGTCTCTGCGAGGGGCCCTTTCCAGCGTAGGCTATCTCTCACACGGCATCCCTCAAGGATCAGTTCTAGGCCCTCTCCTCTTTACAATAATGATAAATTAACTACTTTTAAACGAAAAAACTCTATTATTTGCAGATGATACAAAGTTGTTGACCAGGGATGCTAATTTTCTCCATCTACCAACAGAGGCTGAAGACCTGCTTGAAAAAGCCAAGGATTGGTATGTGGCTTACCACCTAAAGTTAATGATGACAACACCGTCACTAGTCTGCACGCTGAAACGGAGAGTTAAGGAAGAGAGCGCAGTAAGGCTTCTAGGATTCATGGTGGATACCAGGCTAAGTTGGAACCAACATATCTCGCAGGTATGTTAAGCTATCTCGAGTCCTCAATCTTCTCAGAAAACTTGGGTCTGAAATTCTGAAAGCTATCTATTATCAGTGAACTATGCTTTATTTCATACCCATGTGACCCATTGGGTATTGACTGGTATCGTGGGGGTACTTCTCAGTGGCTGAAGATGCTGTTCTTGCAAAAGATGGCCTTGAGGATTATTACATCGGCTGGGTATTTGGACACTGCCAGCTTTTCTTCAAGGGCCCAGGGGTGCTCACACTATATGTACTTTGCATCCTGACCCAATTGAAGGTTAACTTGGTGGCTCACCTTAAGGTGCACGAGTAAAACACCAATAGGAAGGCCCAAAACATAGACATTCACCAGTGAAATCTCAGCTGTACCTTCAGTAGATATCCACGCTCACGTATAAAAATTCGTAATTCTCTGCCCGCACAGATATAATACAATCTTTTGACGATCCCTTTTACATTTCTGGTTCTCGTAAACCCTTGAGATTTGTAAATCACGGGCATTCAATTATGTAGTCGAGGACAGTAATGTAAATCTCTAGTTTAAATCTCCATTTTCTAGGCTACCTAGGATTACGTCGTTACTGCTAGAACAATGAATAAATGAACGATTTAAATAAATTTCATAAAATTTTGTAATTAAATAATTACGTTTTTATAGCGTACCAAGATTTATTTAAACAGATTGATATTTGAAAAATGTAATTTTGTAGAGAATGGTTTCTTAAGCAAATAGATAATTATTTTAATCACGTTATCACTTAGCATTGGGGTGTTAAATACAAACAATATCACCAAACTAAGCTGTACAAAAAAACGCTAATATTAGACACATTCAGTAAGAACTAACATAGATAAAACATACTGCCTTACTAGATTACTCATCCTCGTGGAACAGCTGAAGCCAATTGTATTGTTATATCTGTCCTGTGTACTGTAAAGGTCGTGTTTTGTTTATAATTTGTTTCTTGTTATTCGAATAATTTAAGACATCATTTATTTAAACGAAATAAAACGATCAAATCAAAAACAATAACTCGTCCCCTAGTTATTTAACGAAACAATAACGCACAAATCATTAAATTAACCCTAAAATAATACCAACAAAATTTAGTCGTCCTTGACAATCAGTGTCACCAGCACGAAAAACGATTTAAAAATTTTACAATCGTATGAGAAGTCTACGTACTTGTATTGGTTAGTAGCAGGTATTAGTTGGTTGTGTAGGCTATGGCACTACACATCTTTCATAAATATTTTTTCTTTACTAAAAAAGTTATAGATCACAACAAAATAAGTGCAATAGTAGTAAATAGTTATTTGTGCAACTAGTGAGAAAAGTGAGCAATTGACTCACTCGAGAGAAATCCTTACTCACGAGCCGTAGGCGAGTGAGGAATGGTTTCTCGAGTGAGGCAATTGTACTTTGAACTCGAGTTGCACATTATACTTTTCCTACAGTTACCATAAAACAAATAAATTGGTTAAGAAACATAACCTATTTTTACACAGAAGTGAACTTTTAATATAACATTTAATGTGAAGTGACAAATACAACAGTACAACAGCTGATTTACAGCCAGTGCTGCCAACGTATTTCGCGCGCATACGACGTTGCCTGCATGTTACGCGCTCACTATTTCTTGCCTTCACGTTGCACTTGCAAATCTGGAGTGAGACAAAGTAATTAGAGTGAGACAATGTTAACATTGTCTCACTGATGAGCGAATTGGCCACTTTCTCAAATCAGAGAGAACATGTACATTGTTAGGTAACTGTAGGAAAACATTTTAACATGCATAGAAATAACTTGATTCGTAATAGAGCTATTTGTAATTTTTTGAACATTCTCAATTGCAAATCGGTCCCCAAAGTGTTCCTTTGCAAGGAATACTCCAAAAACAGCTGATGGATGATATATATCTAACATGGCCGCCACTTTAATAGTATTATTAATCAGTTGTTTAAGATGGGGATGCCACTATGTGTGTATAATACTTTTATTACATGTGTGTTTTACTGTATTTATTTTATCTCACAAAAGAATTTTATAACCGTGAGTAAACTAACTTAGCAATAGTGGTTAATTTAATCGGTAAACTGTCACTTGCTTATGTAAAAAAAAAAAAAAACTAGGACCTTAATTTAGGAGACATTAAAAATAGGCAATCAAGAGGCAGACCCAATCGTCATTTAAAATTCAAAATAAGTAGGCCTAAATGTTCATCCTTTTAGCAGCAAAGATTGACTCGTTGTTCATTCTCTCAGCGGAGTTACAACGTGATTGTGGACGACACTGATTGAATCCGTTATGTTTTACCAAGGCATGATTAACTAACGATTACTGGTTTATATTCTGTTGTTTTATATATATCCAAAGCTCAGCGATTGAGTAATGATTAGGCCCTTTGGGACATAGGATAGAAATTGTATAATAGTAAACTAACGTTATTTTAATTTGTTATGTCAAGAAAAGTGGCATAGCTGAACATCACTAATATTACACTCTCTGTCTAATTTGTATATTACACTAACTGTGTGCCCGTTCTACACACGGGGTTCTTATAGTAGTCAGTTGAAACCTTCTTACATAAAGAACAGCAGTTGGTTTGCAAACTTTCAGATATCCTGGCCAAACTTGTATATAAACAAATACAATATCTGACAGATTCAAGTCAAAAAAATGCTTTATAGATCTATGATGCATAGCTTAAAGTAGGTATATAATTGAAAGCTACTTTCCACAATGGTTAAAAGTAGTTAAAATACTACACCTCAACCTCACCATTAAACATTTAGGTTGACATTTTCACTATCAAAGGTGCTATTTTCCTGTCCGTACGGAACACTGAGAAATATGCGCTACCGACTCAGACATACACACAAAAATACAGCATTTAATTAACATAAGCATAATAAGCATTTAACACTAAAGCCATTGCCGTTGGTATGCTAAGGTCCCATATGTATGAACCAACTTTATCAATCTTTTTTCCATTACAACATAGTAAAACAACCCGACCTCAGCCTTTTTCGTAGTTTTTGATACGTTATAAATAGTAGCAATTGAGACTAAAAATTGGAACAAATTTAAATATTCAATAAATTTTATAAGTACTATTTCATGAAAATAATTAAAAAAAGAAACTTATTTTCTACATTTGTATTCAATAATATCGTCATGATTAAAATGTGGAACTAGAAATAAGAAACCGTATTTGTGAAAACTTCTTAAAAAGAATACACAACTCAACTTCTGGGTATAACCAAACCATTCGTTTCAGCGCTCTTGTGACGAGGGTTTAAATCTTCATGAAACATTACTTCTGGGATTATATGTTGTTTTTATTCTACTCGAAACGTTAAAATATTTAACACACATTTCATCGTATTTTATTGCAATAAATTCAGAACAAAGTAAAGTTAGTAATTTGTTTATGAAATAAAATGTAGGCTATAATTACTAATCTTGATAACATTGAATTTATTTTTTCGACCGATTGGTACAGCAGTCCTTGTTTGGTTCAAGTTTTTATTTTGGGCTCGGAATGGCCCCTGGATATCCAATAATCTAGGGAAAATTTAGGGTTATTAAAACTTCCTTTAAAGTAGCGGACTTTACTCTATAGATTTAAAACTGAGTTGGGAATCCTATATTAGATGTTTGAATGACGATAGAAGGTTAATTATAATCAGTGTTGTATTCGTGTGGATTTCAGTCTCATACAATGGAGCTGGAGCTTATAATCAGTGAGTTATGTCTTGTATGTCTTAGCAGCAACATCGCAGCACGCCTACTGGTCAATCTAATATAAAAAGCCTATCTCAAACCGGCTGTGGAGTCTGCCGGTATGATACAGGATTGGTGCAAGGTAAGAAAATGAGTGAAAATATTGTAATAGTGCAAACAGTAATCCATTTATTTGGGATAACATCTTCACCATGGTTTTGCGATTATCCTAAAGACTTGGGGATCACTTCACCATAGATCATCACACATCCAACTTTTTCGTCTTTATATATGAGATTCATAAGTGCTCGATACTTTCCATACTCCATGACAGGTATGGTTTTTTCAACGTTCAACTCGATGATTACATCTTTAGCCGTGTAGTTTCCCTGCAAACACAAGACATTTGTATATTCCATTTATATTTATACTCTGTTTAGATTACCGTATGCGTATACTGTATACTCGTATATGTGTGCGTAACCCATTAAAATGTAGACCACAACGGGGTTTTTACCTTAGAGACCTATTTTGTATCAAGGTTTAGTGATAAGTGGAGCTTCACATTGAGGTAGTGACTAAATTAAAATGAAATTAAATTAAAAATTCTTTATTTTACCAGGCAAAGTTAGGGCCACATGGCCCTTTCTTACACTGACATACATAAATACAAATACAATGAGATTTTTTAATCTAATATAAATCTGCATACTTAACAAATTAAGAACAAATTAAATAACAATGTAATTCAACAAAATAATTATAAATGAAAGTAACAAACAATCGCGTAAAGACACAGAAGCCTTGGGACACGCCAGCCACTTTACTTCATCTTTACTCAAAGTAGAGATTTTTTAGTACCACTACAAACTGGAAACGTTTTTCAAGGTATTTAATGTGCAGGGGCAGGCCGTAAGACGGCAAGCGGTAACAACAAAAGCGCTGTCATAAAGTTGTGGTCACATGATCGTGATCGAGGAATGTGGAGTGTGTTTTCAAAAAAAAAAAAAAAAAAAAAAAAAAAAAACAGCGGCAATTATTTGATTAATAAAAGTGGTGTTTACTGATACATGACTTTTAAAACATCTAAATACTATTTTGATTAGCTAATTATAAATCTGGCTTCCAACAAGTTTCCTGTTTGGTAGATATTTTTTGATTACAGTGAGAATTGGAGGTGATAAGCGGAACAAAAGTTCCAAGCAAAGTCTTCTTAAGGCCCCTTTTATACTCTGCGGTGCGCCGCAAGCCACTGCGGCCTGCGGCCCTGTAAGTGCATTGGGGTGCTTTCATACTCTGCGGCGGCCGCCGCACGCCGCTGCAACTGGCTAGATGCATGACGGTGCACCTAGGAGCTGCAGAAACGTGCGGCCTGTAGGTGCATTGCGTTATATAGGAGCCTTTATAGTCTGCGGCACGCCGCAGTGGCGTTGTCAAGTGCTGCCAGCTGATCAAAACAAACTCAGCCCAACGGTACTGCCTTGCCTCCATCATTTCACTTTCTTTGCCGGTGTGGTCGGTGGTTTTTTTTCTTTTCTGAGCATCAGTTTGCAAGTTTTGTGAATGAAAAATGACAAAACCTACTACGACTGAAGTCAACATTGAACAGTTAGTTCATCAACAAAATGAAATCTTGACCATCAACAAAATGAAATCTTGACCAAGTTTGTGGGGTTGATCATCAGAGGACTACAAGCTCAGGGATGTTGAAGGGACTCAATCAACACTTACACAACACAAACACGCACAAACATGCGGCGGCCGCCGTCGAACGCAGCGGCGTGCGGTTCGCCAGAGAGTATAAAAGGAGCCTAATTTATTATTATGTGTAAATGTCCGTGATTCAAGTACAGTTTTTACTTACCATAGGCATAGGACACTTCTCTAAATTAACACCCGCAGACCTCATTAAGCTTTTGTACATGTCTTTGAGCACATTAAATATTTCATCGCAGTTTTTCAATTTCACCTCCATGTATTTTTGTATCCAGCCGCCATTTCCCCATTTCTGTATTTCAATGATTTCCTGCAAGAAACACACGTGCGCTGTTCAAAATGTTGTTGTTTAAACCCGTTATTCCTTAAACGAATAACAATTAAATAAACTAAAATGTTTTCAAGAAGTGTTTTATAAAAAAATAAAAATGAACCTTATATTATTTGTGTAACCTTAAAGCTGAAAATATATGTTATACCTTATTGTATAAAAAAATCATTGTAAACAATTTTATTTTATACGAGTATAATGGGTGTGTTTTTTATATGTTGTAGTACAAAACACATTTAATACTGTATACATAGTATGTTTCCTTAATAACATTGATATTGTATGAACAGTCCTTTTAAACAGAATATTGAGTAATAAGTTCTATAAAATTTATGTTTTAAGTAGCCTATCATGTATCGTTCACAATTAAACAATTTAACAAACCATTGTGACGCTTAAACGATTGTGTATTATTTGATTTATAGATGCCTATGATTACATTCCAGTTAGTTAGATGATTGCCTCGTTCATTTGGTCGTATATGAAGGAAGGCGAAAGAAATTTCCTAAAAGTATGTTTATCTACGTTAAAAAAACTTAGCACAAAAAAAACCACAAAGGATTTCCGAATTTGAAACTACATCTTCTGGATTAAGTTATTAATTTAACGCGGGTTAACATAGATCATACTTTTTGACAATATATTATTTCTTGATTAGGTATGCAAGTTCTATATGAAGTTTTGATTCAACCCCAATCCATAGTCACAGTGGCACAGTAGGTGGGTATTGTTTTGGTCCGTAAGAACTCTATACAAATGTTTATTTCGTGGTCATATTAAATACCAATCCATACCTTTAATAATAGTAATAATCGATACCATTCTATATAAAATGGTTAAAAATATATTAAAACGTTCCGGAATCTTGCTACCAACCTGTATGAACTTATTTATTTAAAAACGTAATATTTCTAAGCATTACACTTGAAAATGACATAATGAGCGAAATGTGTTCCTATTTTATTAAATAAAATTATTAAAAAGAGAGCTAATATTTATATATGTATTATTAAGTATAAAAAAAAAATAAAAAATTAAATTTTTCTCGGGTCGAAGTCTTACACGAGACTTACGGTAATAGCTCATTGAAGATTCAATGGATTCAAGATGGAAGATTCGCTTAAAACACTTAATTTATACAATTACTTAAATAGATTCTATAACGGTAGTTTTTATTGACTCAACAGCAACACGTTACCTTGAAGTCGTCATCAACAGGAACCAGAAACGAGAAGTTCTCATTATACAGATACTTGCCTCTTCCAACCTTGGTTATTTTGGTTCCAACAATAATTTTACGGGACCCTTGGTCCTTACAGTCTGCGAATTTTTCAATCTCGATGTTATAAGGCCCCTGAAAGTAGTAATATCGATTATTTTAACCTAGAACTGTAGTAGAACTGAGAGTTTCTTTGATATAATAATAATTATTAAAATTCGAAAAAAGGTGTGGATCATACCCCCGAACACTAAGAAGTAATGTAAAGGGTTGAAAGGTTAAGTGCATTTAATATTTTGTGATTTTATTCGTGATAGTTGTTTCACACTGATGAACTAACATGCCAAATGTTCGTAGACACCAGCCTTATTTACAATCATTAATTAAATACAATGAATGCTCCTTTGGCTAATATAATTTTAATTTAATCTGGAAAATATTTATAATGCGTTAATTTGTTATCGGTTGGCCCTGGCGTTGCATTAAAGATAATGTTTACATGACATGCTAACAGAATTTCTGCGATAAATGTAGGATGAAGATAGATATCCCCACTGTTAAAAATTAAGAATACCCATAGTTTATTTAATTGTATTATCTTCAACACGAGTTACTGAAAATAACTGCACAGTTTTACCGTATCACCACGTTTTCGTACAGTTCAGTTGGACTATGCACGAAAATTTAGAACAAGACTATGTTAACATTTAGAACGAGTTAACAGTAGAATGCTAAATATCAATCGCAGAATGATGCCTTTACACGAACTCTTTATTTTAACTCACTCACCACCTTAGGTCCAAATAAGTCGACCACACATACAACCGACAACAGGCCTACCACCACCAGTGACAGTGTGTAGACCGTCATAGTGCGATAGATAGAGGTGCGATAATTTGTGGACAATAACCGCACGACCTTCGTAGTTGCGTGATGACGACTAGTTGACATGTGTCATCTGATCGTGTACTAGGCCTACTCAGGCAAATCAAATGTCCTTGGTTAAATTATATCAGTTGCCAAAATAGCCAAAAACTATAACCTCTGTAATACAAAAAACAAGATTGTGAACTAATTGTTACGAGGAAACCCGTGCGAAAATCATGCATTTATATAGAGTGTGAAACTCGTTTCCAAGGCAAAACGAATTATGCATTATCCTTTTTATGTTTAAAAGAAGATTGTTGTTTATGACAGTTATTAGATTAATAAAACGGCTAACTAGCATTTCATTTACAGAATTGTTTTTAGATCTACACCATAAAGAGCAATTTAGATACCTCAATAAAAAAAAAAATCTCTGTTCCAAATTCACTTTCATAACCTGCGATTAGTATGGGGTTAATTAGAGTGATGTACTGTATATACTATTTGAGTTATTTGAGGAAGCCAATATGGCGATCTACAATCCTTTCAATTTTGATAGAAACATTGAAAATTGTACAATAAATATTTTTAGACATCTGACAAATATTGACCGTATAAAACATAACCCCACAGAACTAATTCAAATAAATCCGGCTCGACAAGGAGCAAATGATTAGTATGGGGTTAATTATAATGATATGTATACTATTTGAGTTATTACTCGAAGGACCAGGCGTTATGGCCGGCCGTAGCTAGTGAGAATTGAAGTGGTAAAGTGTTTGACTTGAAAGGTACTTAATGTTATTTTTGAGATCTAAATTAGTCACACACTATTTGATTGGTGAAACCATTGATGTATAATGAAACTAACCATTGTAGAGGTCCCTTAGGCGGAGAGTGAGCCAAGTCCGTTGTGAGCGTCACGGAAGCGCCGCGGGGTAGAGTTGCAATAGTTTATTTTCTCATTGTTGGGTCATTTGGGTCTGTGTATCTGTGATATCGTAAGCAGGTTGTGTCTCTGTGAGGGGCCCTTTCCAGCGTAGGCTATCTCTCACACGGCATCCCTCAAGGATCAGTTCTAGGCCCTCTCCTCTTTACAATAATGATAAATTAACTACATTTAAATGAAAAAAACCACGCTATTATTTGCAGATGATATACATTTGTTGACCAGGGATGCAAATTTTCTCCATCTACCAACAGAGGCTGAAGACCTGCTTGAAAAAGCCAAGGATTGGTATGTGGCTTACCACCTAAAGTTAATGATGACAACACCGTCACTAGTCTGCACGCTGAAACGGGGAGTTAAGGAAGAGAGCGCAGTAAGGCTTCTAGGATTCATGGTGGATACCAGGCTAAGTTGGAACCAACATATCTCGCAGGTATGTTAAGCTATCTCGAGTCCTCAATCTTCTCAGAAAACTTAGGTCTGAAGTTCCAAAAGCTTCTCTATTATCAGTGAACTATGCCTTATTTCATATCCATGTGTCCCATTGGGTATTGACTGGTATCGTGGGGGTACATCTCAGCGGCTGAAGATGCTGTTTTTGCAAAAGATTTTCTTTGAGGATTATTACATCGGCTGGGTATTTGGATCACTGCCAGCTTTTCTTCAAGGGCCCAGGGGTGCTCACACTATACGTACTTTGAATCCTGACCTAGTTGAAGGTTAACTTGGTGGCTCACCATAGAGGAGAAAAGGTGCACGAGTAAAACACCAGGAAGGCCCAAAACATAGACTTTCACCATTGAAATCTCAGCTATACCTTGAGTTCCACACTTTACACGCTCACGTATAGAAATTCGTAATACTCTGCCTGCACAGATATAATACAATCTTTTGACGATCCCTTTTACATTTCTCGTAAACCATTGTTAAATTATTTTGAGTTGTAAATCACGGGCACTCAATTATGTAGTTGAGGACAGTAATGTAAATCTCTAGTTTAAATCTCCATTTTCTAGGCTACCTAGGATTACGTCGTTACTGCTAGAACAATGAATAAATGAACGATTTAAACAAACTTCATAAAATATTGTAATTAAATAATTACGTTTTTATAGCGTACCAAGATTTATTTAAACAGATTGATATTTGAAAACACGTAATTTTGTGGAGAATGGTTTCTTAAGCAAATAGATAATTATTTTAATCGCGTTATCACTTAGCATGGAGTGTTAACTGCAAACAATGTCACCAAACTAAGCTGTACAAAAAAACGCTAATATTAGACACATTCGGTAAGAACTACCATAGATAAAACATACCGGTACTGCCTTACTAGATTACTCATCCTCGTGGAACAGCTGAAGCCAATTGTATTGTTATATCTGTCCTGTGTACTGTAAAGGTCGTGTTTCGTTTACAATTTGTTTCCTGTTATTTGAATGATTTAAAACATCATTCATTTAAACCAAATAAAACGACCAAATCAAAAACAGTAACTCGTCTCCTAGTTATTTAACCAAACAATAACGCACAAATCTTAAATTAACCCTAAAATAATACAAACAAAATTTCGTTGTCACTACAAATCAGTGTCACCAGCCGGGGCTATAGAATGTATTCTATAGCCCCGGTCACCAGAACGAAAAACGATTTTAAACATTTACAATTGGATGAGAAGTCTACGTACTTGTATTGGTTAGTAGCAGGTACTAGTTGGTTGTGTAGGCTATGGCACTACACATCTTTCATAAATAGTTTTTCTTTACTAAAAAAGTTATAGACACAGTATCACAACAAAATAAAAGCAATAGTAGTATAACATTTTAACATCTATAAAAATAACTTGATTCGTAATAGAGCTATTTGTAATTTTTTGAACATTCTCAATTGCAAATCGGTCCCCAAAGTGTTCCTTTGCAAGGAATACTCCAAAAAACAGCTGATGGATTATATATATTCAACATGGCCGCCACTTGTTGTTTAATAGTATTATTAATCAGTTGTTTAAGATAGGTACGCCAGTATGTGCGTATTATACTTTTGTTACATGGGTGTTATACTGTATTTATTTTATCTCACAAAAGAATTTGATAACCGTGAGTAAAGTAACTTATCAATAGTGGTAAATTTAATCGGTAAACTGTCACTTGCTTATGTACAACAAAAAAACTAGGACCTTTAGGAGACATTCAAAACTAGGCAATCAAGAGGCAGACGCAATCGTCATTTAAAATTCAAAATAAGTAGGCATAAATGTTCATCCGCAGACATTTAGCAAAGATTGACTCGTTGTCCATTCTCTCAGCGGAGTTACAACGTGATTGTGGACGACACTGATTGAATCCGTTATGTTTCACCAAGGAATGATAAACTGACGATAACTGGTTAACATTCAGTAGTTTTATATGAAAAAATTTCAGCGATTGTGTAGACCTTTAGTGACGTATGGTAGAAATGGTATGATAGCAAACTAACGTTATTTTAATTTGTTATGTCAAGAAATGTGGCATAGCTGAACATCACTTATATTACACTCTCTGTCTAATTTGTATATTACAGTGTACAATTTACACTGTAATTACATTGTACATTTTACAAAGTTATTACTTATTAAAAATAACAATCCTTCTAAGATTAAGAATAGTTGTTTTTATTTACAATTTGTACTTATTGGAATTGTGTTTTTTAATAATGTAACATGGTTAATCATATTTTAGTGTTAAGTTTGTGTTTGAAAAATTAGAATTAATCATAAATATTTTTATTAGTAGGATAAAACCCCAAAAAGTAAAGAAAACACCGATTTAAAATGAAAACACTAAAGCCACCGTTGCCGTTGGCGTACTACAAACAACCCGACCTCAGCTTTTCTCTTAGTTTTCGATACTTTATAAATTGTAGCAATTGAATAAGATTGGATACATAAATAGTACCGGTAACTAATAATCTATAAATTATAACAAATTTAAATAGTCAATTAATTGTTTAAATAAGTATTATTTCATGAAAATGATATAAAAAATACACTTATTTTCTACATTTGTATTCAATAACATCGTCATGATTTAAATGTGGAACTACAAATAAGAAACCGTGTTTGTGAAAACTTCTTAAATGTAAAGAATACACAACTCAACTTCTGGGAATGGCCGTGCGTTTCAGCGCTCTTGTGACGAGGGTTTAAATCTTCACGAAACATTACTTCTGGGATTATATGTTGTTTTTATTCTACTCGAAACGTTCAAATATTTAACACACATTTCATCGTATTTTATTGCCATAAATTCGGAACAAAGTAAAGTTAGTAATTTGTTCATGAAATAAAATGTAGGCAATGGTCACTAATCTTGATAACATTGAATTTATTTTTTTGACCGATTGGTACAGCAGTCCTTGTTTGGTTCCAGTTTTTATTTTGGGCTCGGAATGGCCCCTGGATATCCAATAATCTAGGGGAAATTTAGGGATATTAAAACTTCCTTTAAAGTAGTGGACTATACCCTATAGCTTTAAAACTGACTTGGGAATCCTATATTAGATGTTTGAATGACGATAGAAGGTTAATTATAATCAGTGTTGTATTTGTGTTTATCTCAGGCTCACACAATGGAGCTTATAATCAGTGAGTTATGTCTTGTATGTCTTAGCAGCATTATCACAGTACGCCTTTACGCCATTTACTGGTCAATAGATGATGCCTGGCATGAGACAGGATGGGTGCAAGGTAAGAAAATCAGTGAAAATATTTTAACAGTGCAAAATGTAATACATTTTTTTGGAATAACTTCATCACCATGCTATTGCAATCACCCCAAAGACTTGGGGACCACTTCACCGTAGAACATCACACATCCAACTTTCTCATCTTTATATATGAGATTCATAATTGCTCGATACTTTCCATACTCCATGACAGGTATGGTTTTTTCAATGTTCAACTCGATAACTACATTTTTGGCCGTGTAGTTTCCCTGCAACGACAAGACATTTTTAAATTCCATTAATATTTATACTCTGTTTAGATTACCGTATGCGTGTATACTCGTATATGTGTGCGGAACCCGTGAAAATGTAGATCACAACGGGGGTTTTACCTTAGAGACCTTTTTTTATCAAGGTTTAGTGATAAGTGGAGCTTCAAATTGAGGTAGTGCCTAAATTAAAATTAAATAAAATGAAAAAATCTTTATTTTACCAGGCAAAGTTAGGGCCACAAGGCCCTTTTTTACACTTAACCTGACATACATAAGTACAAAGAAATAAAAATACAATGAGATTTCTTAATGTAATATAAATCTGCATATTTAACAAATTAAGTACAAATGAAACAACAGTGCAATTCAACAAAATAATAATTATTATAAATATAAATAACAAACACACTGGCACGCACACGCACCAGCAATCGCGCAAAGACACAGAATCCTTGGGACACACCAGCCAAAACCATTTGCTCAAAGTGGAGATTTTTTAGTGTTGCCACAAATTGGAGACGTTTTTCAAGGTATTTAATGTGCAGGGGTAGGCCGTAACCGTAAGACAGCAAGCGGTAACAACAAAAGCCCTGTCATAAAGATGTGGTCACATGATGAGATATACGCTATGTGGTGTGGAAGAACGAGAAATTCGTTAACTACGCCGAGACAAAAATTTAAAACCTGACGTAAAATATGTTAAGGAGTGTGTTTTCAAAATTAAAAAACCACAGCAACATTGTGATGATTTTTGGATAATTTAATTTCAAGATGTTTGCCTCAAAGTAGTATGGCTGGGGGTGATGAAAAGTGGTGTTTACTGAGACACGACTTTTTAAAACAGCTAAATTCTATTTTGAATAGCCAATTATAAATCTGGCTTCCAAAACGCTTCCTATTTGGTAGCCATTTTTTTGATTACAGTGACAATTGGATGTGATAAGCGGAACAAAAGTTCCAAGCAAAGTCTTTGTTAAGTCCAAGCTAGTGAAATAATTTAAATCAGCTGTTATATATTTTATTCTCTTGGTACTTGATGTTTCATTGCTAAGATACAGTTATGATTTAAATGCTTATTGTTGTGAGTTCAAATTGTAAATAAGTGTGTTGAAAGTAATAGCTATCTGATTTAATAGTATATTTCGTACCTAGGGCCGAAAATGAGGTTTTGCCGGCTCGAGATAGTTTTTAAGTTCGAGACGAAGTCGAGAACTTAAATCGATCGAGAGCTGCAAAACCATTTCGGTCCGTGGTACGAACGCTATTTTTCACCACACTATACCCTATTACCACTATTCACCACTATAATAATGCACACTGATCGTCAACACAACTACAACTTTAAGGTTATGTGAAGAAATAATTTGAGGAATCAGCAAAAATATAAATAAATAGTTGCTAGGCAACGGTGACAATAACACAATTCTATATTGCAATGCTATGGATTTTGATAGTGTATTTAAAACGCATTCTTGATTTAATTAAGTAAGCGGACAGCTGATTTTGCGGCCCCGGCCTGTAAAAACCTGCTCGGTCCCCAAATTGGTGACAGCTGGCATGGCCAGCAAAACGTAACTTTCAGCCACCAATTAACGTATGTAATACAGCCAAAAACATCATAGTGTGGTGAAAAGTTTTTTTTTAAGCTTTTAACAACTTACATAGAATTTGATCTAATATTGATGTGAATTCCAACAGTCTTCTTAAGGCCCCTTTTATACCCTCTGCGGCACTGTAAGTGCGTTAAGTTAAATGGGTGCTTTCAAACTCTGCGGCGGCCGCCGCACGCCGCTGCGACTGGCTAGATGAATGACGGTGCACCTAGGAGCCGCAGAAACGTGAGGCCTCTAGTTGCATTGCGTTATATGGGAGCTTTTATACTCTGCGGCACGCCGCAAGCCACTGCGGCCTGCGGCACTGTAAGTGCGTTAAGTTAAATGGGTGCTTTCAAACTCTGCGGTGGCCGCCGCACGCCGCTGCGACTGGCTAGATGAATGACGGTGCACCTAGGAGCCGCAGAAACGTGAAGCCTCTAGTTGCATTGCGTTATAATGGGAGCTTTTATACTCTGCGGCGCGCCGCAAGCCACTGCGGCCTGCGGCACTGTAAGTGCATTAAGTTAAATGGTTGCTTTCAAACTCTGGGGTGGCCGCCGCACGCCGCTGCGACTGGCTAGATGAATGACGGTGCACCTAGGAGCCGCAGAAACGTGAGGCCTCTAGTTGCATTGCGTTATATGGGAGCTTTTATACTCTGCGGCGCGCCGCAAGCCACTGCGGCCTGCGGCACTGTAAGTGCATTAAGTTAAATGGTTGCTTTCAAACTCTGGGGTGGCCGCCGCACGCCGCTGCGACTGGCTAGATGAATGACGGTGCACCTAGGAGCCGCAGAAACGTGAAGCCTCTAGTTGCATTGCGTTATATGGAAGACTTTATACTCTGCGGCGTGCCGCAGTGGCGTTGTCAAAACAACTGATCAAAACAAACTCAGCCCAACGGTACAGCCTTGCCTTGCCTCTATCATTTCACTTTCTGTTGCCGGTGTGGTAGGTGGTTTTTTCTTCTCTGAGTATCAGTTAGCAAGTTTTGTGTATGCAAAATCACAAAACCTACTACGACTGAAGTCAACATTGAACAATCAGTTCATCGACGAAATGAAATCTAGACCAAGTTTGTGGGGTTGATCATCAGAAGACTACAAGCTCATGAACATTGAACAACAAACATGCGACGCCCGCCGTCGAACGCAGCGGCGTGCGGCGCGCCCCAGAGAATAAAAGGAGCCTAATTTGACATTTTAAAATTTATTATTATGTCTAAATGTCCGTCATTCGAGTACAGTTTTTACTTACCATAGGCATAGGACACTTTTCTAAATTAACACCCGCAGACCTCATTAAGCTTTTGTACGCGTCTTTGAGTACATTAAAAATTTCATCGCAGTTTTTTAATTTCCCCTCCATGTATTTTGGTCTCCAGCCGCCATTTCCCCATTTCTGAAGTTCAATGTGTTCCTGAAAGAAGCACACGTGCACTGTTCAAAATGATCTTGTTTTAACCCTTTATTCCTTAAACGAATAACAATTAAGTAAACTAAAATGTTTGCAAGAAGTATTTATTAAAAAAAGAACTTTACATTATTTGTATAACCTTAAAGCTGAAAATATATGTTATACCTTATTGCATGAAAAAATCATGGTAATTTTTTTTATTTTATACGAGTATAATGGGTGTGTTTTTTTTATATGTTGCAGTACAATGCTCATTCAATTGTGTATACATAGTATGTTTCCTTAATAACATTGATATTGTGTGAACAGTCCTTTTAAACGGAATATTGAGTAATAAGTTCTATAAAATTTATGTTTTAAGTAGCCTATCATGTATCGTTAACAATTAAACAATTTAATAAACCATTGTAACGACAATGATTGTGTATTATTTGATTTATAATTATCTATTACATTCTAATTGGTAGGATAATTGCCTTGTACATTCGGTCATATATAAATGAAGGTGAACAAAATTTCCTAAAAGTATGTATATTTACGTTAAAAAAAACTTTGCACAAAAAACCAAAAAGGATTTCCGAATTTCAAACTACATCTTCTGGATTAAGTTATTAATGTATTTTCACGGGTACATAGATCATACTTTTTGGCAATATATTATTTCTTGATTAGGTATGCATTTTCTGTATGAAGTTTTCATTCAACCCCAATTCCACAGTCACAGTGGCACATTAGGTGGGTATTGTTTTGTAGCGTAAGAACTCCTTATACAAATGTTTACGTCGACGTCATATTAAATACCAATCCATACCAGTAATAATAGTAATAATCAATACTATTCTATATGAAATGGTTAAAAAATATATTAAACGTTCCGGAATCTTGCTACCACCCTGTATGAACTTATTTATTTAAAAAAGTAATATTTATTTAGTAGAAATAGGTTACACTTAAAAATGACATTATGAACAAAAACGTGTTCTGATTTTATTAAATAAAATTATGAAAAAGAGAGCTTGTATTTATATACATATTAATTAGTATAAAAAAAATTAAAAATTAAATTTTTCCCGGGTCGAAGTCATACACGAGACTTACGGTAATACCTTCATGGAAGATTCGCTTAAAAAACTTAATTTATACAATTATCTAAATCGATTCTATAACGGTACATTTTATTGACTCAACAGCAACACGTTACCTGGAAGTCGTCATCAACAGGAACTAGAAACGAGAAGTTCTCATTATACAGATACTTGCCCCTTCCAACCTTTGTTATTTTGGTCCCAACAATAATTTTACGGGACCCTTGGTCTTTACAGTCTGCGAATTTTTCAATCTCGAGGTCATAAGGCCCCTGAAAGTAGTAATAGAGATTAGTTAAACCTAAAACTTTAGTAGAACTGAGAGTGTCTTTGTTAAAATAATAATTATTAAAATTCGAAAAAAAGGTTTGGATCATACCCACGAACACTAAGAAGTAATGTAAAGGGTCGTAAGCTTAAGTGCATTTAATACATTTGTGATTTTATTCTTGATAGTTGTTTCGCACTGATGAACCAACATGCCAAATGTTCGTAGACACCAGCCTTATTTAAAAGCATTAGTTAAATACAATGAATGCTTCTTTGGTTAATATAATTTTAATTTAATCTAGAAAATATTTATAATGCGTACCGCATGTTGAATGTGTTATCGGTTAGCCCTGGCGTTGCATTAAAGATAATGTTTAAATGACATGCTAACAGAATTTCTGCGATAAATGTAGGTTGAAGATAGATAGCCCCACTGTAAAAAATTAAGAATACCAATAGTTTCATTGTATTATTTTGAAAACGAGTTCTTGAAAATAACTGCAGAGTTTTACCATAACACCACGTTTTCGTACAGTTCAGTTGGACTATGTACGAGAATTTAGAACAAGACTATGTTAACATTAAGAACGAGTTAACAGTAGAATGCTAAATATCAATCGCAGAATGATGCCTTTACACGAACTCTTTATTTTAACTCACTCACCACCTTAGGTCCAAATAAGTCGACCACACATACAACCGACAACAGGCCTACCACCACCAGTGACAGTGTGTAGACCGCCATAGTGCGATAGATAGAGGTGCGATAATTTGTGGACAATAACCGCACGACCATGTTAGTTGTGTGATAACAACTAGTTGACAAATTTTATCTGATTACGTGAAGCCCAATCAGATAAACCAGGTGTCCATAGTAAATGTTAAGGACCAGTAATTAAAAAATGTTATAATTGTATCCCTTTTCTTTCACAAAATAATTGTTTCGGGCTTAACGGGTTCTTTACAATAAAAACTTGACGATTTTATAGCTATTTATTTACACTAATTATTCTCTATTTACAAATAATTAAAATTACCTAACACCTAACTAACCCTATCTAAACCTAGGTAAAGCCTATTCTAATTTACAATGTTTCTACTTACAGCTAGCCTCTACGGGATTTATCACTACTTCTGACAGCACTGTCACTACACTGTCACTACACTGTCACTAGAGTCACTACACTGTCTCTACACCGTCACTACACTGTCACTGCCACTAGCACTAGCACTGGTCACTAACACCGACGGGCGCTTGCCGCGACGATTCTCGGAAGACTCAACTCAACTCAACTGCCGTGTGCCGGAAGACGGTCCCTTATATAAGTTTGCCGTGGAACATTCTGGATACCCCTAGTAGCCTAGACAAAGGTGTTTACAGATCGCCGTGGAAGCTTCTGGTGGATGTCAAAGACCCTATTTACGTAGTCCGTTGACATGGGTCTATTGTCTATCACTGGTGCGTTCCGAGAATCCCGTGTTTGACAAACAAACCTTTTAGTCTAGGCATATTGGGAATATAAGTGGCAGTTAGTGGAAAGTTTAGGTACAGTCCTAATCATCACTTTTCTTTGTGTTTTTTGGGTCGCTGAACACGAATATGAGGTTTGCTGACAGATATTTTGCCCGGAACATTGGTTATTTTGTGAAAAACCTTAAAATTTCGGCACTTTTTTTGGTTTTTCGGGCAAATCTCGGTAAGTATGGGTTTTTGAGAAAATCCTGCTTTGTCAAATTAAAGATGACAAAATTTACTACAAATTTCCTATATAATGTTTGTTTCTACGACGAACCGTTTCGCCACTAGAGCACACTAAAAAAGGCCAGAAGTACAAAAAATTAAAAACATTGCTAAATGCTGCCGATTTACATTAGGTTTCCATGGAAACAACCCATGTTAAGATAATTTTCACTATTTATTCACGATAACAAATTGAAACACACTTAAAAATATCCCCGCCACAGCAAACCTGCAGACTAAGCGAATTTCCATTTCCCTGATTGGATTTACACTAAAATGTCTCCTTAGAAATATCACATTTATTCCTTATTTAAATAACATTTTATTGAGTACTTAGGTTTGCTGCAACAGGGAGGGTAAAAAGGTGTTTTTTGTAAAATGTAATAATTTGGTATGAAATTATGTATGACTGACTGCTAGAACATTTCCCGTTCCCACAAAACCCCCATTTATTTTCTCAGCACAGGGATGTTGCTGGCCACAGGTTGACTGCTATAGTGATTGAGAAAAAAGGATGACATACATTAAAAGAGTTGTAGATAACTTTTAACTTTGGTAACGTCAAATTCAGACGAGCAGACCGTGTCCAGCCACTTGCCATAATAAATAACGCGATGAAGTAGAGAATTCTTACCCGTATACCCCAACACATTGTTTCAACGTATCAGCATCGCTAAGAATTCTGATGAAGAACTTAAACACTTCTTGTCCTACGAACTGGGTCCATACTCTTTCTCGTTGTTTGATAATAACGGTTTGCACAAATAACCAAATCAAATCTTTAAAGGCCTAAAGCCCCTGTCCCCATTGAAAACAAGCACTTCCATGGTCAAGTGCAGTATGTTATTGATGGTGGGTTCCTACTACACAAAAGTTATGGCCAGAGCATCAACCTTTCGACCATAAAAAACCAAGCATCAACCAAGAAAAACTTAATCGACAACATACTCACCACTCCTTGCCTTGCTATAAAGAAGAAAACTGTAGGCAGCTAAGAATATTCAAAGATAAACTTGGTCCTCAGTTTCTAACCCTTGAGGAAGCCTTAAAAGCAAATGAGGACGTGGAAGATGTTTTTTCTCTCATCTTGGGCCCATAAAAAAATGGATAGAATGCCAACCTTCGACCCGAAGAGAGTGAATTACATGATCCTACCAACCTACCTATTCATGAGGTTATTAACATTATAAAAAGAAAGATTGTCTCCATTTTCCACAATTTAATCTTAGTTAGTTTATTAGTGAATTTCCCCTATAGGGAATAAGCTATTACCGTATGACTCGTGGTAAGACCTGGACCTGGGACCGATTTACTTTTTCGTTTTGAGGTCCCTAGAGACCAAAAACACCATCCGTTCAAATTCATATATGTGTCCGTTAGGGCAAGAACTCGACAAAAATCATCCGATTTTGATGAAAATTGAGACAAACGTGTAAACCTACGTCTATTCGAACGAGTTCGCGAACCAGCATGATCGGACTATGGGAACAGGGATTTATGGGGGGTTTTATGGGGTAAAATTGGTTTTTCCTATTTTTGACCCTATAAACTTAAAATTTAGTGATTCCTTTCCATACCATTTCGTAGAGCTTAAAAAAACAAATAAATTAGTATATTAATGCGTTGTTATGCGCCTAATGGTTACGGGGAAAATTCCATAAATCTGTAAATTTGAAATGCCCATGTTATTATTATCAAATTTGGAAAATGCATTCATTTCATACCAAATTATTACATTTTACTAAAAACACCTTTTTACCCTCCCTGATGCAGCAAACCTAAGTACTCGTTAAACTTTTATTTAAATAGGGAATAAATGTGATATTTCTAAGGAGGCATTTTAGTGTGAATCCAATCGGGGAAATGGAAATTCGCTTAGTCTGCAGGTTTGCTGTGGCGGGAATATTTTTAAGTGTGTTTCAATTTGTTATCGTGAATAAATAGTGAAAATTATCGTAACATGGGTTGTTTCCATGGAAACCTAATGTAAATCGGTAGCATTTAGCAATGTTTTTAATTTTTTGTACTTCTGGCCTTTTTTTGTGTGCTCTAGTGGCGAATCGGTTCGTCGTAGAAACAAACATTATATAGGAAATTTGTAGTAAATTTTGTCATCTTTAATTTTACAAAGCAGGATTTTCTCAAAAACCCATACTTACCGAGATTTGCCCGAAAAACCAAAAAAAGTGCCGAAATTTTAAGGTTTTTCACAAAATAACCAATGTTCCGGGCAAAATATCTGTCAGCAAACCTCATATTCGTGTTCAGCGACCCAAAAAACATAAAGAAAAGTGATGATTAGGACAGTACCTAAACTTTCTGCTAACTTTCCTAATATGCCTAGACTATTTTGAGACGGTGCCTGGCTATTGTTGCGCGGGACTCCTGACTTGACGGGAGGAGATATTTTCGATACCTTTTGTTGTTGGTTGGCCGTATGATCAGTTGGTTGCTGTCAAATTCCATTCATTCCAACCATGCTATTTATCAGGGTTATCTTTTATTTTGATGGACTTATATCAACAACTTATTTAATTATTGCATGTTAAAACCTGTGTATTTTAAGTTATTTTGATACATTATCAATTGTTTTTTATGCTAAATAAATACAGACTTATTTTCCACTTTTCAAGCTATGATTAATCGTGAAAAAAGTCAAGTTTCCTGGTTTGAAGATATTGGTTTAGGCTTGGGTTTATCCCATAGAGATGAATGGTTTAGCTCTTATTTATGGCATTTGATTGAAGAAAGAACACCGGTTTATGATCTTGTTAAAATGGATTGCTCGTAAAGTAAATAAATAAACTTATATTGCAATCATAATGTTGATATATTTTTTATTACTATGAACAAAACAACAGGATGACGCCATCTTGCCTCTAATTTGACAAGTCCCTCCAACCGATCACTCGCCAACCTAACAACACGAAACTCTTAAAAACTTAAAAACTTGTTTTACGTTGTTAAGATAGGAGGGGAATGTTAATTTCACTGTAGTGCATTGGTATAGTTAAGGTTTGAGCAACTGTAGAAAGAGTTTATGTGGTTAAACAACGTGAAATAGATGTTACATAGCAGAAGACTTCCTTAGAGTGTGTACAATCGTATGCAATATTCCGTCATGACATATGTAATACATGTCATATCTACATGTGTCGATGTCTATCTCCTTTGATCAATCATTGGTTGTAATGGATACACCAACCATTTCAGGGGTTATATGGTTGATCCCTTTGCTTGGTAATATCCAACTACTACTTGTGATAATAATAAATCTTGGCTATTATATTACTATACTTTCTAAAACATATCGTCAAGGAGCAACGTTAAAGTTTTTATATGAATCGTAAAAAATAAAAGATGAATTTATATATATATTTTTTTATTATTATCAATTTATATATATATTTTTATTATTATCAATGCTGTTACCTAATGAGATTTTATTACTCGATACTCCAAATAAGTGTCTAAGCCAGTAAATTTGGAGTTTCTTCTTCTTTCGTATTATAGCCTAAATCGCATTATTCGTCCTAATAAAGTTAAAAATAAATACAAAAAATGTTGAATGTGTTATCCTAATTTTAACAAAACGAATAAAATTTAATGGAACATAACTCTACAATTTCTATAAAAATAATTATACAAATCACAATAATAGTAAAATAATAAGAAATAATTACTTGACCTTACTAGACCTTAAAACTTCATAACGCTTTGGATACGGTAGTTTGCCAACCCCACCACTTGTTGTTATATTAAACACTTGCTTTCCTTGTATATAATCTCTACTGTAGTGTTAGTGTAACAGTTTTACAAAACGTGTTGTATTTCGAACCAAGATAATTAACGTTTTATGTAAGCAAATTTGTATATTACATTCTGACATTGTAGTATTAATTGTAGTAGTAGTTAAACAAATATTAAATAATATTTCTCATTTAGTATAACATTATTGTTTCCCTAAAAAGGGCAAAACAGTTTTAATTTTTTACTATCAGTAA